GGACCTTCCCGATTAATATTTGTGAGTTAAGGGCAAAGGCCTTAGTGGCACACTGATCTCTCCACTTAAAAAAGTTATATTGTTGGAAGGAGATTGAAATTGAAAAGAAACCATCATGCCAGGAAAAGAGGAGACTTTTATATAAACCTTGTTTAGAATGTTCTGGATATAGACTGGGGATGTCCAATGTTTTAGTTTCCTTATTGATCATTGGATGATGGGAAATCAGTAAAAACCTTCTAAGGTTTTGGAAAGGAGCTCATGACACCAGTTACTTCCTCAAGCCCTTTAAAAATACAAACTTAATTCTTTTGTGCCCTAAGATCTTAGTGGAAGACTCTGGATGGTGCAAATGATTAAGTGCTCAGCTATTAGCCCGGAGGTTGGCGGTTCGAACCCACCTGGAAGCACCTTAGAAGACAGGCCTGGCAATGTGCTTCTGAAAGGTCACGGCCTTGGAGACCCTATGGAGTAGCTGTACTCTACACACATGGGGCCACCACGAGTCAGCATTGACTTGACCGCAGCTAGTAACAACAGCGACAAGCTCTTTGTTGCTCCATTTCTTTGATCTACCAGACTGGAAGTTCCCTGGAAGTCAGCAGCTGTGTCATATATGTCTTGACACATCCTGTGACACTCAATCCTAGATCTTGTATATTATAAGGCTTAATTAATTGCTGAATGAATAAATCAATTTTTAATTTCCAGTAAGAATTTCTCCTTATTTTAAGTTACAAACATGTAACTTGATCTGTGGGTATTCAAATGTTGCTTTCTTATTAAGCAGTACTTATGTGGCCTGGATTTCTCAGAAGAGTGAAACATGTGGCCCATTGGTATAATCATTTTGCTTTGAAGATTAATGTGTGATTGATTAAACAAAACGAAACTTCTCCCTTAGGCATCCCCACTTGTGGATCACAGCAGTGGAGAGGGGGAAGAGAACCCAGTGTAATCACGTGTTAGGAAAAGCTGTCTGGAATCTGTACCCTCTCTGGTTCATTGTCTTCAGAGAGTAAACAGCCTGTCTCCTGCTCAAACTGGGGAGTGGTAGTGACCTGGCTACCAGGGGAGAAGGCGGGATCTGGGAATCCTGTTCTCATATAGACTTTCAACCAGATTTCCTGTTTTCAGCCTTTGTTTCAGTCTCACCTCACTTCCTCTTATGTGGTACTTGGTGTCTATAGTTCTAAGTTTTTCTTGAGCTCTAGGTGGGGATCCACTTTTTTCTAATTGGCATACTTGCTATGTAGACACTGCAGTTACAAATTTCTCTGCTTAGTCAGTTACCTTTCTTTTTCTGCTTTCTTTCTTCGAAAAACTTGTTGACCTCTCTCGTGTATTATTTTCTTTTCCTTCAGGGTTTGTGCGCTTTTTATCAGTTTATCAAGTTAGAGGATTTCTTGTGGGAGCCAGAATAAATGTGTGTTCAGTCGTCCATGTTTTTGAGGAATCCAGTTAGACCACTTCTTTCTGTATATTTTTTCTTTTTAAGTGTGTGAAATAAAAGTACCTGCCAGGGTGAGTTTTCAAAAGAAGCCTGTAAGTAGTTGTTTTGATTTTAGTTTTGATCGTTGAGATAGTGTGTCAAGAAATGGGCACTGAATCTCTTTCAGTGCAGTCTGTATTATGTTATGTTCCATACTTTTTCTTCTTTTTTTTTCTTGTAAAAATACATGCAACAACGTTTGCCATTTCAGCATTTTTTACACGTTTCAATTCAGCGTCATTGATTACATACATCATGTTGTGTAACCATTGCCACTGTTCATTTCCAAATTATTTCAACTCCATTAACAGAAGTTCAGCTCCCTGAGCAATGACTCCTCCTTTCCCTCTCCCCACTAACGCCTGCTAACCAGTAATAAACTTTAGTCTCTATGGATTTGCCTTTTCTAGATATTTCATGTAAGTGGGATCATACTTGTCCTTTTTGCTCATCAGACTTAATACAGGCAGTCCCTGGATTACGAACGAGTTCCGTTCCTAAATCTTTCTTTAAGTCGAATTTGTACTTATGTCAGAACAGTTAGGTGCGGTTTGTATCTAACATCAGTTGGTCAGATGTTTGTCTTAGTATATAGTGTATCTTTTTATGCATTAAAAACAGTAAAGAAACACTTCAGTACACTAAAACATCTTTAACACGACAGTACAGTAGTAATAATGATGTTTTGATGCGCATTGCAAAGTGGTGCCTGTTTGCTGTTACGAACCATCGTATGTACCTCGAATTTTTAATACAACAGGCTTTATAGGAGTTGGTTTGTAACTGCAGGCTGTATGTAAGTCAGATTTTTATAACCCAGGGACTGCCTGTAATCTCAATTGCCCTGTCTTCAAGTTTGCTAATTCTTTCTTCTGCCAGTTCAAATCTGCTGTTGAGCCGCCGTTATGATTTTTCATTTGTTAGTATACTTTCCAGCTCCAGCATTTCTGTTTGGTTCTTTTTATACTTTCTATTTCTTTATTGAAATTCTTGTTTTGTTCTTGGATTGTTTTCCTGATTTCCTTTAGTTCTTTGTTCATGTTTTTCTTGAGCTCTTTGAGCATATTTAATTACCATTGTGTCTTAGGCTGGGTTCTCTGGAGAAGCAAAACAAGTGAAGCATCGATGTGTGTGTGTGTGTGTGTGTGTGTGTGTGTGTGTGTGTGTGTGTGTGTGTGTAAATATATTAGGGAAATGGCTCATGTGGTTATAGAGACTGGAGAGTCTGAGTCCGTGGGTCAGGCTGGAGGCTTCTCCTGATTCATGTAGCCACCGGGGCTGGTGAACCCAGGATTGGCAGGTCAGACAGCAGTCCTCTTGCTCACAGGCTGCAGAGGCTGTTGAAATTCCAAGATCTGCAGGGAAGCTGTTAGCTCAAGTCCCAAGAACTTGGAGGTCAGATGAACAGGTGCCAGCTGTAGGATCTGGAGCCCGCTACCCTTGCCAGAAAGTCCACCTATATGGAATGCAGGCCATACCCTCAAGGAAACTCCTTTTCAACTGCCTGGCTACTCACAGCAGATCCAATCATGAAGATGATCACATTACGTCAGATCTCATCCTAGAGATGATTACATCATTGTACGACTACTAAACTACATACTACCTGCCAAACCACTGAGAATCTTGGCCCAGCCAAGTTGACGCACAACCTTAATGATCACATGTTGTTTTATAGTCTTTGTCTAGTAAGTTCACTATTTGTTCTTCCTCAGGGACAGTTTCTGTCACTTTTTGGTCTTTTGCATGGGCCATTCTCTCATGTTTCTTCATATGCCTTGTAATGTTTTGTTGAAACTGGGACGTTTAACTATTTTACTGTAGTAACTATGGAAATCAGCTTCTTCCACTTTCTTAGGTTTTGCTCTTCTTTAGTAACCATTATTTTAAATTGTTGACTGCTATAGTTCTGCATTTCAACACCAGACTCCCTGCCTTGGTGCATCTGCTGTGGCCACTTCAGCACTGGTCTCCTTGTTTGGGGGTGCTGGCTGTCACTGTTTCAACCCTTGGTTACTGAGTGGGGGTGCTGGCTCTGCCGCTTCAGCACCAGACTCTGCCGTAGAGCACCTGGTGTGGCTGCTTCACTGTCAGGATTCCTGACTGGGGACACTGGCTGTACCGTGCTGGCCGTGCCCTGCTGGCCGTGCCCATCCGGGTGCAGTAGCTGTCGTAGATGCACCACGAGCTTCCCTGCTCAGGAGTGCCAGCTGTGTAGCTGTAGCACCAGACTCTCCACCTGGAGACAACAGCTTTGCAGATCACCACCAGGGTCCATGCCTGGGAGCACCAGCCATCACTGTTTTACCACTAGGCTGTTCTCCTTAAGGTGCCAGCCATCGGTGATTCACTGCCAGGCTCCCTGCCTGGAGGTGCTGGCTGTTTTGCTCCCACAGAGACTACCTGCCTGGGGACGCCAGTCACTGCAGCTGCCCCAAGATAGCCGTGCTGAGCTGGGGAGGGGCTGGGTGTGGACAGGTGGAGAACCACTGCTCTCCTACCGTTTGTTGATATGTTGCCAGTTTTCTTGATTCAGTGTTCACATTGGTGTTCCAGTCCTTTGACTGGTGTTTAGACTGTTGATTCCACCAATGTTTGCCTGTTGTCTTCCAGATTTGAGCGGCGGGGGGGCGGACGGGACGGAGCACGCGACTGCTCACACTGTCGTCTTGCTCTGCTCTCTGTTCCATACTTCTTGGCACAGTTTCTAATATTGAAGATTGTGTTTTGTTTTGCATCTGTCGTCTTTATGGGCTGTTGTACTGCCAGAAATCTTATGAATCAAAATCAAAGCAAAATTTTTTCTTATAATCATCAGTTTTGGGAGTCAGTGTGCTGTGATTTTAATCATTATTACAGGTCCCACTTTCCCGTCTTCGGCAGGAGCATTGCTTCCTGTCCTGGGAGAACGGGGTTGGTAGAGCAGTTGTGAAGATGGTTACTACTCTATGTGGGCAGTCAGTTAAATGCAACTCCATTTTTTATTCTTTTCATATTTTTCTTTGCCTGATTTTATTTCTATAATTTATTAACCTAAAAAATAATGTTAGCCCTTAAGTTAGCTTATATACAGGTTAATCTTTACTTTCCAAGTATTTCTTCCCTAATTTGGCCTTCATTTTTTTATATCTTTATGAATACAGCGTTGCATTCTCTAATCTGATATTGGAAGCCTACTTTGGTTTGTGATATCTTATGGTAGAATGTTGTTGATGGGCATGGTTTACCTAGGGATTCTTCAGAGGTAGTGAAAAATCCTCTGCTGTGTCTTCCAAATTCTCATTAGCAGTCTAAAGAAGATGCTGATGTAGCACTTTTATTTGGGTATTAGCAGACTGCTTTCTGTTTTAGACGGAAGTTGGAAATAAATTATTAATTTTGAGCTTTTGCATTTCCTATATGCTATTTTTTCCTTTCCTACACAGTTATGAAAAAGTTTGCATGTGTTTTGACTCTGAATTATATTTAATGAGTTAAACATTTATGGAAAACTGTCTTCTGCCTTCAGGATCTGTTCTGGATATTATTAAGCACATTGTGGCAAAGGGAGAACACAAAAGTGGAGTCCTCGATGAACCTACCATTGCTACAATACTCAGAGAAGTGCTAGAAGGGTTGGAATACCTGCATAAAAATGGACAGATTCACAGGTATGTAAATGACAACATTCTTCTCTTTTGGATCGGTACAGTGGTAATGTGCTGCATCATGTCATTGAGGCCATGCTCTCCGAGTGTTATCATGGCTCCTCGTTTGTATCTTTAGTTTCAGTACATTGTGGTTAGGTTAGGGTTTTATTACTCTGCTGTTATGCATTTAAAAAGTAGCAAGTATGTACTTTAGTCAAATTGGAAAATACAAAAACAGGAGAAATCCGTAATTTCCTACCAGGAGACAGTCACTGAAAACATTTTGGAGTATTGCTTTCCAATTCCTTTTATGTGCTTTGAAAAAAGAATATTTAAAATAATACTGTGTATATAATTTTGTCTGCCGCTTTTTAAATTTGTTTTCTATTATGTCTTGAGCATTTTCCCAAATTGTTAAAAGCTCTTTGTAAAATAACATTTTAAAAGCTGTGTAAGAATTTCATCATTCGGGTATTACTGGCTGTCCAGATGTGTTCATCCCTGAGGACGGATGGCAGGAATCCAGATGGGATGGATTCTGTGCTGTCCAAATGTTTAGCCCCTGAATTGTGTTTCCCTTCATCTGAAGATGTCTTTTTATGTCCCTTCATTCCTGAAGGGTATTTTCATTGGATAGAGAATTCATGGTTGACAGCTCTTTTCTTTCAGCACTTGAAAGATGTGCTACTTCCTTCTGGTCTCCCTGGTCTCGGATGAGGAATCTGCTGTCATTTGAATTGGTGTCCTTTGTAGGTGATACGTTGTTTCGCTCTGGTTACTTTCAAGACTTTCTTCTTTGTCTTTGGTTTTTGCAAGTTGGATTATGATGTGTCTTGATGTAGATTTATTTGAGTTTATCTTATTTGGGACTTGCTAAGCTTCTTGAATCTGTAGGGTTTTATCTTTTACCACATTTGGGAAGTTTTCAGCCGTTATTTCTTTGAGTGCTTTTTCAGCCCCACACTCTCTCCCCTCCTGGAACTTCGATGATATGAATGTTAGATCTTCTGTTATTGTGCCAGAGTTCCTGAGGCTCTGTTCTTTTTTTTTTTTGAGTCTGTTTTCTCTCTGTTGTTCAGATAGAGTAAATTCTGTTGATGTGGTCTCAAGTTCACTGATTATATTCTGTCTCATCTCCACTCTGCTATCGAACCCATCCAGTGATTTCTTTTTAATTTTGGTTATTGTAATTTTTCAGTTCTGTCATTTCATTTGGTTCTGTTTTTGTAACTTATTTATTTGCTGAGATTTTTAATATTCCATTTGCTTTGAGAGTTTGTAATTGCATGTTGAAACATTTTTATGATGGCTGCTTTAAAATTCTTGTAATTCCAGCATCTCAGTCGTCTCAGTGTTGGCATCAGTTAATTGTCTTTTCTTATTCAAGTTTTTCCTGGTTCTTGTGACGAGTGATTTTTTTTTTTTAGTTATATCCTGGACATTTTGGATATTATCATAAGAGACTCTTTATTTGTTTGTCTTTTGGGTGGGTTAAAACAACAGAAATTTTTTTTTTTTAAACAACAGGAATTTTTTTTTTTTTTTAAACAACAGAAATTTATGGTCTCACAGTTCTGAAGGCTAGAAGTCCAAAATCAAGGTGTTGGCAGGGCCGTACCCTCTCTGAAGGCTCAGTGGAATATTCTTTCTCGTTAGGAGACTCTTGATCCTATTTCAAATCATCTACTCAGCAGACAGTTGCCTTAATTTTGTAGAGTGCGGCTCCAGTGAAAATGGGATTGTTGTTCTGCTCTACGTGGTTCCTTTGGTGCTGCTTGGGGCTCCCCCTGAATACCTGCTGCTTGGGGCTCCCCCTGA